GATCTTCCCGGACTGGGGCACGAACCCGCATCCCCCGCATCGGCAGGCGGACTCCCAACCACTGCGCCACCAGGGAAGCCCCACCCTTAATTTTAATTGCAGGCTATTACGTAGGAGAATGGAGGGAGCTCTGTGCTAGGAGTGTTGCATTTGTTGTCTCTTTTAATTCTTAAATCCCCCTGTGAATTAGCATACTATAGTTTTCTCTATTTAATAGGTAACAAATCTAAGGTTAAGTAGTTTGCCCAAAGTCACAGTTGGTGTTTGAACCTACCCTTATCTAACAGCAGAGTTTATAAAATGTTCTTTTTACAAACTTAAATTGTGAAATTATTCAGAGGTTTGGAGATGGAAAGCCGTCTTCCCCCTGCCGTTCTGTCCCTGAGATTACCACTGCTTTTGGTTTGGTGTGCTTTCTTTTTCATATTGAACATACACAATGTATACACTGAGACATGCGTATTCAGAAATGGGATAGTATACATACCATGCTCTGTCTTGCTTTTGTCGCTTAAAAATTATCTTGATTACATTGACATGTCGGTCCATATAGATCAATTGTATAAGGTTTTGTTTTTTCGGCCATGCGGTATGCGGGATTTTCGTTCCCCAGCCAGAGATCAAACCCGTGCCCCCCTGCAGTGGAAGCTCGGAGTCCTAACCACTGGGCCACCAGGGAAGTCCCGAGATCAGTTGCATTAGTTTTAAGAGGTGCATTATATTTCATTCCAGCAAAGCCCTTGCTTTGTTTCTTTTCACTTCGTACTCATTTCTGTTCCACTCCCCTCTATCCTTAGGCAGCCCTTCCAATGTCTTTAATCAATATCTCTGTCTGTGTCTGCAAAATAGCCATCATTGTTTTGTATACACGTATTTTTAAATGTGTACCTGTTGTATTATATCTCATTCAGTTTTACTTTTCCCCTAAGGGCTGTTTCTGATCCATCCTCTTTGCTGTCTGTACATCTGTTGTTTCTAGCTCCGACCTAGTAGTCCATGGGATTCCTCCCAGTCTACACTCACCTTCAGTGCATCGTGCACCCTTGTTAATGTACTCTGAATAATGTCACATTAGAGTTGTTTCTCCAAGCAGGTTGTAATTTACTGTAGAGCGGAGACCCCAGTCTGCTTATGTCAAGGTACTGAGGAAGGCTGTATCTGTGGTAGCACCGCCTTGGCACAATTCATCAGCTGATTGATAACGTCATACAGATGGGGACTTTGAGGGTCTTGGCAGCAACTTGGAGATATGGTAAGATGAGAGCTTGAGTTAAAAGTACTATCGAGTAGGGTAGTGTTGTATTCCTCAAGCTTTCCTTACCTCATGTTCCACAATTAAGCCTACTAGGCAGAGCCCAAAACTTGGAGTGAGAAGACTTGGGTTTGAGTGCTTGTCCTACTTATCAGCTTGGTAATTACGTTTACAAGTTACTTAACTGCTTTGTGACTTTACATCCTCACTCGGTAGTAGGGATATTCCTACCAGGTAGCCGACGGTACTGTTGTGGTGAAGGTCAGATAGTAATGTTTGTTTGTGTACAAGGTGCTATTTTTTTATTACAGTTTTATCTGATATATTCCATTGCTTGTGCTTATTTTTATTCTTTTGTCTCTTTTGGACTTTAAAATGCTTGCTGTTAAATTCCGTAACATTATACTGTAAAGTACATTGATAATCTATGGATTTAGTGTAGTTTTGTTTTTTTAATTAATTAATTTATTTATTTATTTTGGTCTTCATTGCTGCATGCAGGCTTTCTCTAGTTGGGGCGAGCGGGGGCTACTCTTTGTTGTGGTGCGCAGGCTTCTCATTGCTGTGGCTTCTCTTGTTGCGGAGCACAGGCTCTAGGTGCGTGGGCTTCAGTAGTTGTGGCACATGGGCTCAGTAGTTGTGGCTCGCCGGCTCTGGAGCACAGGCTCAGTAGTTGTAGCACATGGGCTTAGTTGCTCCACGGCATGTGGGATCTTCCCAGACCAGGGCTCGAACCTGTGTCGCCTGCATTGGCAGATGGATTCTTAACCACTGTGCCACCAGGGAAGCCCTATGGAATTGGTTTTTCTGTTCGATAAATATTCTTAGTACATAACGATATATATGTGTGTGTGTGTACATATATTTTTCTTGCAATCCTAGAAATTATGGAGATTTACTCTAGTTTTTTCGTCCATCTCTGAGATTATTCCATATAAACAATAAAAATTTGGCAACTCTTTCTTTTAAGTTAATAGCATTTTTTCCTACCCTTCAAAATGACAAGTTTTATTAGCCTATTTAAAATGGTAATTATTTACACAAAAACAACCTGCTACTCTCTGGGCTTTGAAGCAGGAAAACAGAGGTCAGAGGCCTTTTTTTTTTTGCGGTACGCGGGCCCCTCACTGCCGCGGCCTCTCACTGCGGAGCGCAGGCTCCGGACGCTCAGGCCCAGCGGCCATGGCTCACAGGCCCAGCCGCTCCGCAGCATGTGGGATCCTCCCGGACCGGGGCACGAACCCGTGTCCCCTGCATTGGCAGGCGGACTCCCAACCACTGCGCCACCAGGGAAGGCCTAGGCCATTTTTGCTGTAGGCTGTAGGTTGAAATCAGTCTGAGATGGTTTTGTTCCATCTCTAGAATGGAAGTGGGAGCAGAGACGTGTGAGACAAGGAAATTCTCCCAACTGCTCAAGCCATTCTCTTCAGTGATACTTCCTTGTTTGCATCTTTACTAGAAAAAAACCTCGTTAACTTAGGAAGCAAGCTGACTAAGTCTGTGACTTTTAATCAGTAGTAAACAGTGATATGAAGAAAGTACATTCTGCTGAACAATCCTTGAATGGCCTTTCCCCACGTAGATATTAAAAAGATGTGCCACTGACTGTTTTTGGCTTATTTCTAAGTGTTGGGTAAATTTTCTGATAGTCTTCTCTCCTGGTAATTTACAAATGTATGTTCTTTTAAAAGAAAGTCTGGTCTCGTAGGGTTGGCCCTAATATTTAGGTGCAGTCAGAGTGTTAATTAGGCATACAGACTTCCTTGAGTCTGCTCTGAAAATCCAGAGCCTTGAATTGAGCAGTTATGAATAGAATTGAGCAACTATGCAGCTACTAAGGCCACAGAATTGATTTTTGTCCAGAAGTTTTCATAAGGAATCTTAGATTGGATTTTTAAAAATATTATTTGTTCTTCTATCCCAAGGCCAGGAAACCAAGCCCAGTACATTTTCCACCGAATTTCACCTGCAGTACCTATAAATTTGGGTGATTTTCTTTCTTCTTGAGGGTTTTCAGATTTGCCAAGGTTTTTGGCTACTACTAAATGACCTGGTCACCTGTGATGCTGAGACCTTGTAAGTCAGGCACTAGGCAAGTTCCCTGGTGGCATGGTGTAGGAATTGGCTCTGTGTGTATTTGTTGGCAGCAGGCTTGTCATAACTGATTGAATGAAAATCATCCTCACATAAGACAGTCCAGGTATGGCTTTGGTTGCACAATTGATTTATGTAGTTATATTCTGGTAAAAAGGAGTGTACATTCTTATTGAGCCAATGAAAATTAGAATATTCCTGAAAAGTAAAACTCAGTAAAACTATTTCTAAATTCTGAATGGGTCAGTGAGAAGCAGATAATCATTTTAAGAGGTTATATTTCAGTCTAGAAAAGCATAATTTACTAAATTGAGGGTAGAGATAGCTTAAGAGGAGAAAGAAGAGGACTTTAAATGTTCATTAAGTATAGAAGGATGGAACATTAAAAATATATGTATAATACCAGTTGTATTCCAAACAAATAAACATAATTAAATTTCATTTAATTCAGTTCATTCAGTCCTAGTAATTCTTATCATGCTGGGTTTTGGGTGAGTCTGCTTTTATGATGTATATCAGCTTGTCAATATGAAAAAGCCTTAGGAATATTGACTCAGTCCATTGTTTAACGTCAGCAGTGTCAGCTCAGAAGCCTGTACTCAAGAGTGTGTTTTTTGAGGTGTCAGTAGTTCAGTGTTCCTAGTACAGTCCTTTCCAGGAGCGTTCTGGTCATCAAGAAGCAAAGGCCTGTTTGATAATGAGA